ATTTACTTTTTTACACATTAAAATGTATTTATTGTTTTATTATATTTCCGGTGTTTTACACATTTATTTATATTAAATTATTTTTTATAATTGTTTAAGAAGGGCTTTGCCGATTTCACGCAATCGGCAGTATTATGTAGTTTGAGTTGCCGATTTCACGTATTTGGCGACAACGTTGCTGTTTTCATGAAATCGGCAATTTCATAAATTCGGCGTAACATATATACTAGAAAAGTATTGAAGTAACATATTCAAGTGATATAACAGTAATAACATAATAATAGACAAATATATAAATAGCCTAAGTATAAATTTTTCATAAAGCATTTGAATTGTATATAAGCATCATTCTAAGGAGGAGTGCATTAGCGGCAAAGTTAGACCTACTTGTTGGTATATAAAAAGTCTTCTGGGATCGAGTGTTGCTGAGAACCTGGACGCTGAGTCTCTCTAATAAACGAGACGCGTCTATATATAATAATCCTGAGATAAAGCGATAACTAAGAATCTGACGTTCAAATGAATCAAGCCAGAAAACATCGTTTATAGTTTGATAATCGTGAGGTGGATGAAATATATTTAAACGGTAACGTGGATAATTCAGAAAACTGTTCTGCGCTTTATCAATTCTTAGTGAATCGCCTATGGTGAATAGAGTTCAGACAATAGATTCTAGTACCGAATGTACTAGTCTTCAATAGAGGATGGAGAGACACTTAGAAGAATTGAAACTCATGGAATATCGTCTAATAAAGAAATAATAAATAATTTGTCTATGTTGCCAGTAATAAAATTTAAATTTATAAAAACATACAAAAATTATATTATATATGAGATGAAAAAGGGAGAGAAACTTTGTACAATGGGTTATTCAAATATGAATACATCCAAAAGTTTTTGAAAATAAAGTATTATGTTTTGGTTTTGTACACATTTTAAGATTTGATAAGAAGTTTTGTTTAATTGAAATCGTTTGAAAACTTGAAATAATTTTATTATTATTATTATTAATATAACTGGGAGACATTTATCATATATATATTGATAAACTTTTTTCTATTATAATAAATTTTAGTCTTTGTGTTTTTAGTTGAAATTAATTTTGTTTTGGTTAAAAAATGGTTATTATTATCACTAATATAATAAATGTTCTAAGTAATAATTGAACTCCTGGTCGGGACATGAGTATGCTGCTGGGTGCGCCCCCAGGTTGTGGATAGGGAAACACCCTGCAGATATGCAGGGTAGTTGCGAAATAAGCTATACCCTTTGAGATTAGATGAGGGCGGCCGCGGACAATCTCACCACCGGGGGAGTGATCGACCCCCGGTGTCCCGGCAGATCGGAATACTGGAACGGAACCTGGACAGACGGCGCTGGGCTGGCTTCGTTAGTGGCAGCCAAGCCACCTAAACCATATGAAAAATGAACACAAACAACAGAGAAAACGCTACTGCTACAGGGGCCTTGGAAACCCCAGAGCCAGCGATCAGGGGACGGTGCAATCCCCATGTGTCATTATCACATGCACGCACTACAAATTCAGAAGTTCCGAGCCAGGTTTCTGAAGCCAACCACGGGGCTGGTAACATGACTGGTGGAGGGAGTGAGAAGCAAGCTCTCCTCGGTGGCAGACAGGCTATCGATGCAACTGCAAGGCCTAAAACGAACGGCCCTGGAAGGCTTACTAAGTGTAAACTTGCGGTTCTGGCGTGCGACATCACCGAAGCAACGAGCAAAAATCCATGAAAAATCCATGAAAATTCTTTGCAGGAAATGATGAGGAGCTACTGTCCTGCTTGGAGGACTTGGTTATCAAGAAAGCACCATTGTCACCCAACAGAAAAAGGTGAAGGACATCAGACTGGCCAAAGAAGGGACTAAGCCACAGATAATGGAAGTTGTTACTGGACATCATCATTCAAACTGATCCTACGCTGACATCCATCTCGGCCGAATCCATGCAAACGGAAACGGACATGGTTCCAACGGCGGAAGCCGACAACAAGAAAAAGAGCCAGGAAAAACAAGAACACCGAGATGGTACTGACAGTTGAAGTTACGCGCAGGATGCCCCACCAGCACCGGTCATTGCACCCACACCATCCGATCAGGATCCAACGTCTTGGTCACAGGTTGTGGGCCGCAAGACCAACCGATCTACACTCAAGATCGCCGCATCTTCATCATCGCAGAACACCCATCACAGGTGAAGCTTCTACGTTTCGGTCTCCAGCCGTCCTTGTGAAGGTCAATGAGAGCAAGACTTATCTGAACGTGGTCCAGGCCGTCAAGAAAAAGTGCCCCAATATCGGTGGAACTAAAATCACAGCTATGAGAAGAACGCACGCTGGCGATCTTCTCATAGAACTCGGACGAGGAAAAGCGCAACCGTGGCTGCCGACAAACTTAGATCCACGTTAGCTGAACACTCGGACGATGACGCTGGCTCGGCAGTGAGACTATCGAGGTAGTCAACATCGACACAACAGCATCACGGGATGAAGTTCTAGCCACGCTCCAGTCGGAAGTCAAAGGCGCAGCCGACGACCCGGTAGCTGAAATGAACCGGAAGGATATTAGTTTAACCGGAATGTAGAAAACCAAGCGGGAACAACAGGTGGCTACCACTAGCATCCCGCGGACCTTTGCCGCCATCCTCAGTAGTAACGGTGTTAGAGTTTGTGAAGCCCTGGGCAAAATAAATGTTGGGTCTTATAATTTTTATTAATAAAATATTTTAAGTTCAGTTAAATCAGAATCACGGGGTCTTAATTATAATTTAATTGCACCTCTGGGCAATTGCCCCTATTGCCCAACCCCTCACGCCGTCCCTGATCCTCAAAATAGTGAAGATTGACTGGATCAGCTGTCGAGTTTTCCTAAGAGTGGCCAATCCAACGAGATGTCACCGGTATCAAGGTTTCGGCACAGGTCGACTACCTGTAACGGGTTAGACCTGGCGTAGGCGTGCAGAAAATGCGGAAAACCGAGCACCAAGAAAAAATTTGTTCTAACGGGGATCACAGCTTCGTTGCTTGTGACAGGGCTGGGCTTTCGAGAGTGGCAAACTGACCTGGCTCCGCCACATGTGGAGTCAGGAGAGAAGCAATAACGACGAGGAAGCAAGCGTCAAAATGACCATCCGCTTCATGCAGATAAATCTGCACTAGAGCTTCGTCGCGCAGAACTTGGTGTCCCAGTCAGCAACGGAGAGGGGTGCGTCCATAGTTCTCGTCTCGGAGCAAAACTGGAATCCAGCCGACAGGAGTCGTTGGGCCGCCAGTAGTGACGACAAAAGCGCAGCTGCGATTATATCGTCGGCAAACACGGTGATCGATGATCGAGGTGCTTGCCGTGGCATCACCTGGATCAGGTGCCGCGCAGTCACAGTATTAAGTTACTACAACAGCAGGAATGACGCTCAGAACGACTGCACCTTCTTGGACGAGCTGACCGACGCAATCAGAGCGATTGGTCCTGGAACCAACATCGTAGTCGGTGGTGATTTCAACGGCTGGTCAAGGACGTGGGGCTTAGCGTCTAACGACGAGAGAGGCGATCGTTTGGTGAACCTCATGGCCAAATTAGAATTGATGGTAGACAACCAGGGTGAAATCCCGACGTATGTCAGCGCGAACGATCAGGATCAGTCCGTCATCGACGAGACGATCTCTAGACTCACGCGCTTAGGAAGTCTTCGCGGATAGTGAGTGCTACGAGACCTGGAATTGACGAGCGATCACTGATATCTGGTGAACACCCTACACCTGGGAGAGGACGTGGCAAGTATCGAATCCGTCACCTATCACGGATGGTCCTTTAAAAATTTGACGCGTGACGAATTCCAGGAGTGCCTGCGAACCTCCCACTACCGGCCGTCGACGCTTAGACCAGCCCCGAGCAGGTAGACGACCGCCTGGTGGAATTCCTCAGCAGAGCGTGTGACAGCTGCATGCCCGTCAGATCCGGCTCACCACGAGGACGACAGAAGGTCCACTGGTGGACAGACGAAATCGTCAAACTGAGAGGCGATGTGTATCACGCGCATTATCGTGCATGTTAGTTGGCATCGCGAAGAGGGGACGAGTCGAGGAAATAGCACAAGTCAACCACTCTCTCGGAGCCAACTGGAGGAGGACAATATAAGCCGCACAAGCAAAGAGCTGAGATGAGCACTGCGATTCAGTTGAGGCTGACCCGTGGGGACTATATTGCCGTGTCGTCACCAAAAGACTAAGGAAAGGTAGAGCCGGGGCCGAGGTGAAGAGCATAGAGGAAGCACCTGGTTATCGACTGGAGCCAAGAGGCGCGGCTCATCGAAACTGACGGTAACGAGGCAGACCCAATGGTGGGACCTGTAATGATTTAAAAATTAAAGTATTTATATGTTAATTTATGAGTAAAGTATGCTGCTCGTCGATGACGACATGCGCGAGAGACGAGTTACCTGCGGCGTTCCTCAGGGTTCGGTCCTAAGGTTGACCTTGTGAAACGTATTCTACGACGACCTCCTCGAGTTGCGGATGCCACCCGGCGTGTAGCTCGTCGCGTTCGCGAACGACGTCGCCATCATTGGCATAGAGTATACGGCGGAGAAGATCCAGGTCACCATCAACTAGGCTATGAGGCTGGTGGACGGTTGGATGACGACGCATGGCCTGAACCTGGCGTCTCAAAAGACCAAGGCCATAGTCCTGACAAAGAAACAAGTCTACCGTGACCCGGCTTTGACACTGAACAACCACGTCTTTCCGGTATGCAGGACGGTCCGCTACTTCGGTGTCAAGCTGGACACCCGTTTGTCCTTCCCCGTGTACGTGGCAGGTACGTCAACCAAGGTCATACAGTCCACCTACGACCTGCGCCTCATGCCCAACATAGAAGGCCCTTCGGCGTCCAAGTGTAAACTGTTGGGTACAGTAGTAAACAGCAAGCTGCTATATGCTTCAGCATTGTAGGCAGAGGTGACAACCCGCACGGCAAGGAACAGAAATGCAATGAGCCGTGCACAAAGGCAAATGGCACTTAGGATGGTTCGGTCCTACAGAACCGTTTCAACAGACGGCACCATCTTTTTGGCGTCAATGATCCCGGGTGGTTTAATAGCACTCGAGCGGAAGAGGGTCACCTGTTGGATCGATGAAGACGGTAGCGAGGACAGCGCAGCGGAAATAAAATCGCAGGAGAGGGCCATCACCATCGAAGCGTGGTAGACAAGGGGGGATAGGTCGATCAGACGCTAGATGGACGCACACTCTACTACCTAGCGTGCACAAATGGACGAAGAGACCCGATCTCCCATTCAACTACCGGTTGACTCAAGCACTGACGGGGCATGGATGCTTCTGCCATTATTTGAATCGTATGAACAAGGCCCCGGATGCCACATGCCTGTACTGTGACTTTGACGAGGATACAGCTGAGCACACAATTTTCGAGTGCTCACAATGGATCGAGCATCGTGTGGCTATCCGAGGTTACATTGGCGGATGAGGCCCAGTTCTCGAAGACGTCGAATACCTGCTCTGCGGACCCCGTGACCTATCAAGCAGGGAGGAGGATCCCGTTCTGCACGAGCGTCTCCTAACCAAATGGTTGAAGGGCAGACAGGTCTTCGTCAATATGGTGAAAGTAATTCTTTCTCGGAAGGAGGAAGACGAGTGGAGGCTAAGAGACACGGTCCGAGGAGACGGCGACCAGGTCGGCGAGCTCCGAGATCCGGACCATAAACCGGTGACGACAGATCGGGCAACGAGGCTGGCGGGTGCAGTCACCAGGCCACGAAGCAAGGCGACAACACAATTGGCTTACCATGTAACACGATCAAGGCCACTTCTCAAACGGTAATCTCATTGTAATAACGCGCGGCCATCGGGAAGCAGGCAACCTGTAACTTTGCTAATGTTTTTTTTTAATAAACGATGGCGACGACTCCCAAGCAATGTGAGTCATCGTCGGTTCTAACCAGTGGCGTGATGATGATATTATTTTGGAGCAATTGCTCCTTCGAAATGTTTGGTAGGTGGGTGGTCCTCCTGTCAAAAATACTTAGCAATAAGTATTGACACGATCATGTCGCACGAATACCGCGATCTCACCCGTTACATCCCCTTTGCCTTTGTGTCACCATTCGTTCGATTATCAATCGGGACGCCCGATAGATAAATCGAACCATTTTTCGAAGTCGGCGATGAGACCCGAAGCGTTCGCGGACGGTGTGACGACCGTCACGAACGACGGCGGCGCTTGTCTGCTTTTAGCCGTCTTCGTAGGCACTTATTTTCTTTTTGTTATTTAACATTTTTTTTTTTACAAGGTTCATCTTGTTATACAGTTTTGTCATTTGACATTCTTTATTTTTTTCAAGTCTATTCTGTATATCATACTTATTGTGTTTAAAAATATTATTATTATTCTAATTTTTCATATTTGTTATTATTATTAATAATAGTAGATATTATTATTATTATTACTATCAATAAACCGCATATAGTTTTTTACCTTTCTTTTTAAAAGTTTTATTATATTCAATTGTGTGTGTTGTGCTCATGACAGTATAAAAATAATATAGATACATCATAATATCATATTAAATTTTTTAAGTGATAGAAAAATATTTGGCGCACAAATGTACTGTATATGATCCATTACACTAGAAACAATTGGTGCTAATTGCAATACCAATGTAAACAACATTATTCAAAATTCACATACACAGCATAGATCAAGATACAAGATAATTAATGAAGGTATGGGCGTAGTTAAAATTTGAATCAGGGAGGGGCAAAAACATAAAATGATTAGTGTTAAACTCGTAATTCGAATAATCTACAGATAGACCATTGGATAACACATAAAACGTCAAAACGATTACACGTGTAGATATCACTCGGTCCCACTAAACTATTTTTAGAATTATATCTTATTTAATTTTTTGATTTGAATGTAAAACTTACACGTTTGGTATAAACAAATATAATTCAGTTAAAGGCGCAGGGGTGGGCAAGTGCCCCCCCGGCCACACCCTCGATACACCCATGAATGAGTGTAATAAATTTACTAAATAATTAAGTAAGTACATCTGATTATACAAATCAGTCTAATATACGTATATTTTTTAAATTATAAATGTTTTGTTGTGGTGGAAATGCCGTTAGGATGAATAAAGGGTACCTTATGGTATATACATTTTTGCTCTTCACCAAAAATTAGTTCAACACGCCACTGGTACTAACCGAAAAAAAAAAGTGATAATTGAATTATAATTTTGATTATATGGAATATATGATTAATGTTCTTTGTAAAATAGTTATGTGACAATAAAGATAGTTTGGAATAAAATCATTTAGACCCTATCATTTTTTGGAAAGAAGAATTCTATTTCAAGGAAAAAAAACATTTCAAATTATTTCAATACTTATCAATTGTCCTAGGTAGTCTAAATGTAAATTTTTTTTAGTTATTATCTTAATATTTTAATATTGAGTTGACCTTATATATATGTATATATTAATAAGCAATTACGTAATTAATTTTAGTTTTAAACTTTAGTTTCAATAATTTTTGTGTTTAATCGGTAATTTTTTTTTGTACGGATAGCATTTCAACATATTTAATCAACATTTATTCATTAATTATTTTCAAGATATTTTACCTAATATTTTAAAAGTTTCAACAAACATTGTATTAAACACATTTTTGTTCAGCTTGAATGGTAAGATTTATATCATGTCATTAAAATAATAATAAACTAGTTTGTATCGAGACGACAGTTAGCAGTTAGTTTATATTTCTATTCATATTTTTGAGGAGCATAATGAAGTTGATTAAATTATTTCTAAAATTATTGTACTTATTTCAATTTTATTTTCCCATTTCTGTTGTTATAAATAGAGAATTTTTGGAAATCATTGAACAAAATACAATTTTAAATTGTAGCTTAAAGATAAGAGAAGTGACTAAATTTTTTTTAAATGAAAATTACAAGGTAATAATATGGTATTTAACAACTTGACAACAATGATTAAGCGTAATAAAAATAATTTCTTTTTTTAGTATACATGTGCATTTTATCGTTCAACATATTCCGAGTAGGTACACGTAAAATCTATAAATTTTAAGTTAAATATTAATATAGACATAAATACATTTACATCGAGAACGTATTATTATTATTATAACGTTAGTATGTACATAAACATGTTTAAGTACGGATGATGTAATTTTAAAATATTCTAACATATACCTCCCAGATTATTGCTTAGGTAGGTAAATATTGAAATATGATGTATTTAGAAATTCTTTCGTTTCTGTTTTATTATAAAATATAACATAATTATATTTTACTATATTATTTGAACAATAATAGCGACGTAAGCAGTTTAAATTGTTTTACTCGTGTGCACTTGTAATTGTTTGCAGAATAAAAATTCCACGACTTACAAGTGGTACACAGATTAATAAAGGATATGGGCCTGGAATTATGTGAGACGATTAATTAATGTGAATAAAGGTGGCCAACGCAAAAAACAAACTGCGCCTCGATTCTTATACACGTTGTAAAATATAGCAGTAGCAGGCGAACGCGGATAGAAATTATATTTAATCAAGGAAAACGGTTGTGAATCCTTAGCCCTGAAGCAGTGTATGTATTATAATAATATGTGTGCAACGTATTGTTTACGGGGGAGGGGGGAGGCAAGTAACCGACTGTTTGCTTTTGTAACGAAAACACGTGCCGGTTAGGTAATAATATTATAGATTTGAAATGTACACACGAATATAATTTTGCTGTACCCGCTATTCGTTTCACGCTGGATAGTAATATTTTGTCGTATTGTGACTGTGGACACATGCCGGTATGTAGTACATCAACGCTAACGTATCATTTACTCGTGAAATATGCAAAGCGTAAAAGTGGACATAGAACAAGAGGTCATGTTTTCCCGTAAATGGTGAACACATTTAACGATTGCATTTCAAAAGGTAATAAGAACGCAGGGGCGCGGTTCACTAAGGGAATAAAGATTACGATCGCGATCGCTGTAAAACACGGTATAGAACGGTACAGTACAACAATTCGATATTAAACTTTTAATAATCAAACAGCCGCAGTGACTGACAGCATTACATTTTGACGTTGAACCGTATTTGAGACGGCACAGAGAACGAAATAGTTATAATTTATATCGTTGATTTCGGACGGTACTGGTTAATTAAGACAAACACGGGATTGATCGCTAGTGAATGGTATACCACCTACTCATAGCCCATATGGATTCCACTGCAACCGATTTGAAAATATTTTCATTTATTAGAGAATCTATTGTCAATCGATTATAGCGTATGCATTACGGAAACATGTTATGCTATGTATTTATAAATTATAATTGATTTCGGTTATTGATATATTCGAGAAAGCACCAAGTATGTATTATACTTACATAGATTATTATCAAGATTTCGACCGAAGTGAGGAATGTGTTGTTTTTTCAATGATATATTTTTGATTTTTCTCTGATCAAACTTTTAAGTAATAAATCTGCACCAAAAGTTTTGTTAAGTAACTTCGTCGGAGATAGGAAACTTACCATAGTCCAGATGATATTTTAAACAGGTTAAGCTTTTCGATTTTTTCAGTAGTTTTTCCAGTATGAAATAATAAAAAAAAAACTTATAAATAATATGGAGTCCATCGAGCCTTTATATTTATCTTGATAATACTAATAATTTGGGTTTATCGCCTGGAAATGATATGCAAAAGGACCATTTTGCAGCATAGTACCCGAATACCAGGTGCTTATAATTCAGAAGATTTGTCTTGTTTTTATTAATATTTAAAGTTCAATGTTGAGTTTATAGAATTTCTGATTTTTTTTTTTTTTACGATTTCTTAATTTATAATTAATTAAATAATAAAGAAACAATTTTTTTTTGTACTATGTGATTTTAGTATACATTGATTATTTATATTATTTTACGTGATTACATGAAATGTATGTGTGATTAGACTGCAATACAAATAAACATTTGCGTTTTTCATTTTTCTTATTATAGATAACGTTTTTCAAGTAAAAAACCTTAAGGTTTATCTTTTATGAATTTTAAGGTTGTTTTATAAACCAATGAAAGCACAGCTACACAGCAAGTATATGGTATGTCGCTTTAACTTCCCGGAGATCAATAAATTATAAATCAATTAATAAATTATTATTTAGTTAATAAATGAATTAAATTATAAATAAATCATTATCTAGTCAATAAATCTTGGTCCTTCTGTATACCAAACACTCAGTTATAAACCAAGTATTAAAAATCTTGCGAACCGTGTCGTTATTATATATTTTCGTGAATTTATTATGTTCTTAAATGCATGAAAAAATGGTGACATTACTTTAAACAGAAAAATATACATCGGTGTGTATTTTGAGCAGACAACATGACCGAATATGCAAGTTTTGACATAATTGAAAATTATAATAATTGTGTGTATT